CTTCCCCTCTCTTCACTTGCAAGGTCCTGTCAGATCAACTCCTACTCCCTCGAAAACCGAAGTGTCATTGATATGATCATGCAGTAGGGACACTGGCTTGCAACCAGGAGATTTGGTCTTGTATTGATGGCATCTTGCACAATTTTTTATAACTTTCCTTACCACTCTTCTGCCTGTTACTATCTGTAAAGTAATTGGACAAATAAATTCAGGGTCATCTAATTGCTCTGTAATGCAGGTTTTCACCTTTTTTATACCCTCTCTGTCTGAAATGAAACTCTTAAGCATAGATTCCGCAGAGGGAAAAAATACTTATTTTGTACAATTTTTACTAGAGCTTTTTGGTGTGTTCCATCTCATGAATGGTTAAATATCCAGTCTCTCAAACTACATTATTTTTTACATTTTTCACAAACCACAATACCCATGAAACTAATCGAATGATGGCTTGAAAATTTGAAAAACCTAATGGCATACCAAGGTATTGCCTCTTCAACTGGATTAAGATTACATAACCTGACTTTCCTTTCTTCTCACTCTACCTCGGAGGTCTTGTAAGCCAGGCGATCGAGGGACCAGTTGTTAAAAGGTTCCAGGAGCCAGGATTGACCCCCCGACCAAAGAGAATTGGAAAATAAATAAGGGGAACTGCCTCTTGGAAGTATATCTGCAGGGTTTAAATGACCTGGTACATGGCATCAAAATTGAGAAGGAATTGGACTATTTATTTCATTTACTTGATTGGCAATGAAAAACTCACCAATCACCACGATTCTTAATCTACCAGAGTGCTGCCATAGAGTTAATCCGTGCAATAATTTTCAAATCTGGCAAATCCAGGGCGGTATGTACTGAATGAACCAGTCTTGCACCAATGCAACAAGCCGTCAATTCTAACTGGGGAATGGTCAAAGTTTGTAGTTACAGTACCCTGGATTTTGCTGTGATCAATTTTGAATCCTATGGGCATTACAGTTCTGATTCAACAAATGGATACAACTCTGAATTCTCATTTATCTCTATATAATGTGCAATACTAATTTTCTTAAGATATTAATTTCATCCTGCCACTTCTGGAAATGTTTCTGAATGTTGTCGGGCAGTCATCCTATTTTAATTTCATAGTCCAAGCCTTCTGTAGTAGTAAGTCATGTAGCAAGCTGTTTGTACTAAAAAAAAACCCTGAGGATCAAAAACTTTTATGTACCATTAATAAAATATTATGTTTATTTATCTTAATATCCATTGAATAATTAAGATAACATTTTAATGTATCTTTGTCCAAATCCCTTACGATCCCAAGAAGAGAAGTTTAACCTGAACTACAAACAATACAATGACGCAGAACATTACTTTCCCAACCCCAATAAGTTAAAACATCCCCAAGCCATTACTTCTGTCGCCTTAACTATACAATTTTCTCGCTGTTTGATATTGTGAACTCCAGCGACACAATTGTCAACATGAAACGGATTCTTTGGTTTTTGGGTCACATCGTCAAACTCAGCAGATAAATTATCCAAGAGATGCTCTGTCAGTGCTGAGAGTTGGAATGGAGATGAACAAATGCCCGACCTCACTTTGCAGTGTATGTAAGTCGTAGGTTCTTCAAAAGTTAGAAGAAAATAGCCTCAAATTATCTGTGTTCTGAGATGATGCTCATTTGAAGGAACGCTTTCTCAATGTCTGACAGTAAACCAATTGCATACAGTCTAGGCCTGTCAATTATATCAGGTATAAGTTGAATTAAGTTTGGTCCTCATTTTGAACAGTCGTTTAGGGATGGTTGATTTCTCCCTCAGGCTGAAGCTTCGAACACCACCCGTACCTTCATTGTCTGGCTGGTATGCTTTATAATAGGTCTATGGGGCAAATAACCTAAATTATCAATTTTAGTTTCAGGAACCTATTTTTTATTATTATTTTTAGACCTTTCCATTGCTCTAAAACTATCTTAAAGTCATTTAACTTGTTTTTCTCATTAATTCATTGACACATTCTTTGGTGCCTTTTAAAGACCATAGATATTATTAGTTCATCTTTCAATTTCACCCTAGGTAGATATTTTGTTAAAATATCCTCTTCTTGATGTCAACATACAAACTGATGAATAATTTGATTCATTTCATATTCATCTTTTACAAAGAAATATTCTCGAGTGATGTGCCTTAAACCATTTTTTTTTTTTTAATCCAATCTATTAATGCTTGAGAGTCTGTCCTATTTCTATTGGCTTCTCAATTAGATCATCTTGCCCCAATTCTTCAAGTAAAAAGATGTACCATTTAACTTCACAGCACATAGTTGGACCAATTGCGAAACAACGCCGGTATTTTTTTGTGGTAGATGATTACATAATTATATGTTGATCCAATTGAGAAAAAGTGAAACTTCCGAAGATTCAGCAAGTTTATCATCCAAGAAGAAGGACAACCCAGGAAACTTCCCGAATTTCTAGTAATAATGGTAGTGAATTTTTAGCTATAAAAGTATAAAAGATTTCTTTTTACTTTGAAGAATTGAAACAAGATGATCTAATTGACAAATCAATCGAAATTAGGACAGACTCTCAAGCATTAATAGATTGGATAAAAAAAAACCAAAATATAATAGTGGTTCAAGGCACATTAATCGAAAATATTTCTTTGTAAAAGATTAATATGAATGAATCAAATCATCCTCGGTGTGTATCACATCAAGAAGTGTATTTAACAAATATCTACTAGGGTGAAATTGAAAGATGAACTATTGAAGTAGGAATGACTGATAAAAATTCTTAAAAAACAAATACTATAATCACCTCCTTTGTGTTTAAGATTATATATATATATATATATAATATTTACATCTAAAACAGAAATTCTTAATTCCTCTTCTATTAACTTCCTAACTGGTAACAAATTTCTTGTTTCTTTAGAACCAGTGTAAGGCCGTTATTGTAAAACTTCCCACGCTTTTGAGGTCATTGTTTATTGGCATTGGGGGGTGAAAGTAAGGGTTAGAGGGATGCTTGTCCCCTTAGGCATTTGGGGGTGAAAGTAAGATAAACCTCCGTGCTAGCCCTTCGTGATGTATCTTTTAAGTCTAACAAAAACACAAGACAGTCTGTTTCCAAGGGGATATTTAAAAGGACAATATTACCGGACAAGCCATTAAGGAGCTTGCATAAAAGAACAAGATATTCCAAGTCAAACCGTTAAAGGGTTAAATCGTGATCTACAATTTTTGATATTGACAGCAGATTTTTTCACTTAAATTCAGTACTTGCAGAACATTTCTACTCTCAAGATGTTCTTATTTCCATCAGTTTGCATTTTAATGTTAATACCAGTTGATTTGATCATGGCGCTTTTTTCAACTGTCATTATTTGTTGTTCTTCATCTTTAAAATTAGTAAATATTTCTTTACTAGTTGCCATGCGAGATGTGGTTCCTAAATCAATAACCCATTTAATTATTTTATTCTTTCACTCGTGTATTTCATTATTTCCATCATTTCTATCTTGATTAAGACATGAAGTTTCTATTTTCTTAGATACTTCAGATAAGCATATAGCCAATTCATATTCCCTTTATTTGCTTGACATTCTAAAAGTTTTGTTAAATTTCTCTGCTTTCGATGCTCTTGTTTGGTTTACATTTTACATTCAGTTGATTTGTGTCCGAATTTTCCACAACTAAAGCCTTTATATTATTATTCTGACTTTTTTTTTAAATGTCTTAATTTTTCCACAATTAAAGCAACCTCTTTCATGTTTCGTTTTTATCCAGTATTCTTTTGCCTTAGAACTTACTTCTGTTTCTTTTCGTCGTTGTTTATTTTTTCATTCTGTTTCTTTTAAAGCTTGTCTAATTGAAGCTATATCCTTCTCTGTTACTTTTCATTATTTTAACATCGAATTCAAATTCCTTTCTAAGTCCTTCTAGTATGCAGTAAATTAATTCATCTCTTATTTCATCCTTAACTTGAATACTTTTCCTTTTCAGAATTACAGCTTTATTCATGTAATCATCTACAGATTCATTTTGACTCATTTTCAGTTGAGCTAATTCTATTCTGCATTTGATTTGAATATCTTCTGTTCTTGCCGCCATTTCATTTTTTATTTTCTCCCATAACTTCCTTGCATTCTTTTCATTCGCATATTTTAGCACTTGTGGAGCTGTCATAGTTTGATTCATTACATTTCTTGCTATCACATTATGTACATCCCATATGTCCAAAGTTTTTCTTTCACTTCCGAAATTGAAATTGTCATCCCTTTTATATGGTTTTGGGTGTTCATCAGCTTCTATAACACTTCTCCATAATTTCAAACTTCTTAATTCACCTTCAATTCTGGTTGTTTATCATATTATATGCCATATTTTCTAATTTGTATTCACTAATTATAAGTCAAATTTATCTCTTGGGAGAAATTACTGATGTTGTTAAGCCTAGACAACATCAATGTTCTATATGAAAGTTCATCAGTAGAGGGGACAACTAGGCTCTGCTACCAAATGTTTATTTAAAGTAGGCATATCTATCTACTTCTAATTTTTAAAAAAAAACACATTTTAGTAAATTATAAAATGAAAACTTTATCAAATAAGATTAATTATAACAAGCCTTACCACATTCTACAAAACCATAACAATCTCTAGATGCCAGATACATTTTTTAACTCAATCTTTTACAATCTAAGAAAATATCAATGTTGCCAAAATATTAAAACTTAAAATTATTCGTTATAAACAAATACTATCACATAGGAGTTTTTATGGTTTCCCAATTATGATGGAAGTAAGTTTCTCTGAAGAGTTATCTTTGAGTGTATGGCTTTCCTTAGGCAAATAGCTTTCAAATGTTTTCCGTAATCTAAATAATACAAAATATTCAACATTGCGTTTTGAAAGTTAAATCCTGTACATTTAATAGCTGAGTATTTTATTTTTCTCTTGTTATATGTTAGTTCTTAAGGTTTCACTCTATATTTACCTTTTGATTTTGCTCTTAGATCCTTCTATTTCCATAAGAGAGCTTGATATTCCAGTGAATGCTGTAGCTACAGCCTTAAAAGACTTCTTTTCTAAGAGGCTGCCCCCACTTATTCCACCATGCTTAATGAACGAACTGACAGAAATTTCTGGTATGTGTATTATTTGTAGTTTTTGTGATTGCTTTATAATTGTGTATTGAGGTAATAAACTTTATCTAATTTGTCTATCATTAGGTGCATCGTTTTCTTCTTCAGGAATACAAGATAAAAGTTGTCGACTGTTCACTTTGCGGGATCTTCTGAAAAAACTCCCATCTTGTAATTTTGAAGTCTTAAAATTTGTTTTCCAGCATTTTGTAAAGTAAGTAATGTATATATAAAGAATGGCTTTATATACAATGTTTAATTATATAAATGTTTATGGTCTTGAATCTATAGTTATTTAGATAGAAATATGTTTTTCTCTTTACTTTGCAGGGTTGCTGATAATTGCCGGTTAAACAGCATGGACAGTAAAAATTTAGCCATTTGTTGGTGGCCAACTCTCCTTCCTTTAGAGTTCAGTGATATGATGATGTTTGAAAGAATGAGGCCCCATTTAGAAGACTCTGTGCAGACTATGATTGATCAGTTTCGTTTTCTTTTTTGTGGTGAAGAAGAAGTTGTAATGGTGTGATTAGACATTAATGCTAAATGAATTTTTGTTTTTGTTTTTCCCCCTTTGTGGCATATCAGTCACAAAATGAGACTCAAGATCTGTCAAAGAAAGAGTTGCTGCTGTGCCAGCAGAATACTCAGTTATGATGCTGTAGGTTTCTGGTGCAAAACCTGCCAAGTAAATTTTCATTGGCTGTTGCTATAGAACGTATAAACCAGCAAATATTGTATGCCTATTTACTTGTACACAAAGCCCATAGTCCTTTCATCTCAGTGAAGAAGCCATATCAGTGGTTTAATCATTTTATGTGCTCTAATATGACATTATGAAAGCTCACCAAATATAATTTAATCATTGCCTCCTGATAGACCATTTACTCATGTATGTAGATGACTCAGTATCTAGTATACTCTAGTGTTGCATAACAAGTGTGAATGTGTCATTAAGAAGTTTAAAACAAAAAGAAGGTTATGTTTTGTCATGTCTTCAGATCACAATATTTTTATTTACATTTAATACAGTGCCATTGGACATTTTACAATGTGAGTTACATATGAGAAAGTAAGACTGTCTTTTGATATCGTGTTGGTATGATCTGCATTGTAATGATATCTTGCATAGTTTGCTGTATCAAAACAAATCTGTTTGTAAAAAAACAAAAAAAAAGCAAAAAAAAATTGTCAGATTAGCTCATTACTGAATACGGTCTTTGTTATTCTATGGTATGCAAGCACAGTCATCAGTCCGAGTTCCTTAAAGCAGTTAATGCACCAGCAAAATTTTGTTCAGATATAGTCATAATTTTCTCTCCAAGTTGATCTGTATGTATGACAGAATGCTATCATATGATGTAAGTGGAGTGCATTTCTGTACATTTAATTGAGTTATGTAAATTTCTTTTTGTACAAAGATTATGAAAGAAACTGCACTATCCATTTTACAGCTTCCTATTTTGTTTTTGTGTATGTGAAAATGTCCTTAAAAACAATATATGTGGTCAGTTAATTAGGGTATCTTATTGTACAGAATGGCTGCTGTTTGATGATGTGTACAGAAGAGTCAATGTAAGAATTTTTGATACCCTTAGTTCCTTGTATTAAGCACAACTTATTTCTTTTAGGACCAAAATTTTTGCTATAAAATGTATGAATTTTTTAATGGTAACATAATGACATGAAGTTAAATACCAGATTACTAAAATAAATTGAGAAGGAAGGGTATCGTGTTTGAAACATTCGCTAGTCAGATTTATTTAAACTTACGAATCTCGCATGTCAAGAGTTCTGTAATATAAAAGAGGCTTTTGAATTATGTCAGATAAATATAGCTGAGGATTTCACATTCATGTTTAAGTTATTAAATAATGAATTTTTAATAAACACTTATTGCCTATGTTACTAAAATTTTGGTGACTTAGCAGAAATGGTGCAACCACTGCTTGAAAGAATGAATTTTCTTTATACAAAGTAAATTTACTTTGTCAGTCGTGTTGTTTTTTAAAAAGTTTTGTATTTTTTGTATTTGTTGTACTAATATTAAAAACAATCTTTTTAAAGTATCAGGCGAAATATACCTCAGTTTGTGATAAGACTTTTAATAATTTAAATGAAAGTGTGCTTATATGACAAAAAAGGAAAATATCTATATCTCAAGTTATATTGCCTTCATATAAAAGTATCTCATTATTATGACAGAGCTTTAGTGAATATTTCAGTGTATTAAAAGTTCATTTTAAAACTGCAGTTGATCTGAATTGATCAGTTTGACTTTGACTGAGATATAATACTTTGAGACCCAGCTTGTATTTAAAACATTTTAAATAGACAGGATGAAAGAGACATGATCACTCAGCATTCCTCATATGGATGTCAGAATTAGTCTTACGTATCAAATTCTAATGACATAAAACTGCAATGGAAGATCAAATCTAGTCATTCATAATGTTATGGAAAATGTTCATAGTAAATTTATGTTACCTGTGAAATATGATTTGCATAATAGGAATAGCACCAATATCTGAAAATAAATTTTTTACTTTACTTGCTATTTATATTTCTTTTAAATTATTCAACATACTAATAGACACATGAAGATTTCTCTCATTATAGCAGTTGAGTTGTAATAGTAATCATATTAAAAGTATGTTTTGAAATACAAAAGTTCTTACATTATAAAAACCATTTTCACAGTTACAAGTGACTATGCTAACATTGTCTCTTATTGAAATTAATATCGCACATAATATAATTTTGATCAGTGTACTACTAGAAAAAATTAAAATATGATTTTATATATATGGAGAACACATTTCATTATTCTATTCATTTTCTAAGACTCAGAGTTAAAGTCATGTCTTACACTTAATTAAGTATGAATAAACATTATAATCTTTGTTTTTAGTTAATTTATTGATAAAATGAAAATAAGTTTTGCTTTAAATTATTTACATATAGCATCTTTTGAACATGGAATTCTCCCTTTTTCTAAAGTAACCTGCTTAGGGAGCTTAATTTTTGAAAAGAAAAATGATTCTTGTACATTTTCAGCAACTGAATTTAAAAGTGAAATTGATCATAAAATTTTTTATAAGGGGGGTCCACAAAATTTACCTGTCTGTTATGGATACATCTTTCATTGCATAGACTACTATTTAAAACATATTTATTCATAGTTAGTTTTGAATTCATTTTATGCTAAATACTGCTTCTGATGCCTAAACTGGATTCTTAAAGCCCTAATGTGGTAAGTCCTTCAACATGATGTTTTTATATGTATATATACAGAGTGATTCTGCTTATCTGGAAATACATAATGACTTTAAAAATCTAGTAGCTGAATCTCTGTAGATGAGCTGGTATAGGGAAGAGCAAAAAGGTAAAAGTATGGTTCATGCCAGTTCTGTGCTATCAAAATATTTTAAATTTTTCTCATAAATGATTGATTCTTGGAATAAAGGTGTGAAACAATAAAAATGGATAAATATAAAAAATGATGCTCTTGTTATCAGTGCATAGTAACTCTTAAATTATATGACAATCAATATGCTGATTTTTGATTGAATGCATGACACAACTGAAAAGGATACTGGAAAAAGTTAATCAAAAGTAGTAATATTCTTTTTATGCCGATTATATTTATGAGAGGGAATTGGGGTTGGAGTTTAATAGAAGGTAATGCAATGTTTGTGTAACAACTGTTGGCACATATATAATTAGGCAGGTAACTTAGCATTTACTTGTAAGCAGTGAAACCATTTAAAATGAAGCATTCTAGAAAGTGATCAAAAAATTTGCTTTTGACAATCAAAACTTAATAACCTACAGTGTATTGTCTATATTCAGATTAATTTCAACTGTTACTTATTCTTTTGAAGGTGAGGAATCAGCTATGTTATCTTATACTCAGTTTAACATTACAAAGAGCTTTCTTGTAAGTTTATTATTTATGGCAAAGGCATGACTGTCTTCCATAAGGATGGATAACATCATAGTGGACTTTATGTTAGAAATGGGATAAATCACAAAATCATCCATGCAGCCAGTTTGTTCCCAGATGATGAACTTGACACTTGAACCCTGCTCAGCATCTAAAATATTAGGAGTCTATAAATTTAAAGGTGATAATGGGGAAGGATCACAGAATACAAATCCAAATCTTAATTGGACTACTGCTCCCCTGATTTTTGGGGGGAGCTCTCCATTGGGGGGGCCCTTACCAAATGTAGGCTTGGCCACTTCATTGTGAAAGCACCTAATAGATGGACCAGTGTTACCTCCTATGAAAGGATGGACAATTACAACAAAACTTTTCTGGGATTCGTGCCTGGGAGCCTTCAGTATCACAATAGGCTACTCTAACCACTATACCGTCTAGGCAGCAAAAACTCAGAAGTACATTTTTGCAGGGTAAAATAGATACATAAATTCATAGGCATTATTTATGTAGTAAAATAGATAAACAGTTATTTTATAAGTGCTTCCTTCAAAATAGACAACTGCATGGTCTGGCTTTTCGTACCTGACTGTCCTCAGGACTACAATCTCAAACCCCAACCAGATTTTTTTTATGTTTGCCGCCTAGTAAAGTCCAATGAAAAAAGCGGGTGGGGAACGAATATCCTGAATACTGAGCCGAAATATTTGTCCGCCATATTTGCCCACGTAACTTTAGCGAATTTGATGGCCAGAGGGTAAAATGCTACTATCCAACTATCCGATCATTCACTTTTTTTTTCAAACATTTCTTTTCATCTAGTATATTAACGGATATGAAATTTTGTTTTCCTAAGCTTTGTATTTTCGAGAAATTAGTTTACAAATGACATAAAAAATCAAATATGCTGACATCTTGTAATAAAGATTTGACATGAGATTACAGACAGACAAAGTAGATAGATGCCTTGTTTTTCACGCGCTAAGTCTTTCTGCACCGATGGGCGAAAAATCAAGCATAGGTGCGAAAGAAAGGTATATAGAAAGAGGGGCAATTTCGTATTTGAGGAGAGTAAAAAGGAACTTCGTACATTTTGTACGAGTTCAAAAGGCCAGAAATAAAAGATGGGACAAAATAAAATTTAAAATAAATGGCCTAAAAATAATAGAGGGGGGGAAAGGGCCTGTAGAAAGAAAAGGAAAAGAAGTAGAAAATATCCTAAAATACGATTGTGTCCATGAGTGTAGTTAAAAGGAGTTCATTTGCAAAAATTAGTGTCTTTAAGAAGCAAACTTTAGCTAAGTTAAAAAAAAAAATAAATGAATTCCTACATGGTAATGTGTATGCCCTTATCTTGAGACCTAACTAGAAAAGACATATATCATCACAGAGATGTACATAATATTTTAACTAAAGTAACATTAACTATTACCGTTCCCAAAAAATTCATGTATATTTCAGAAAAACAGTAATTGACAAAATCATAAATCAATACACAGTGTTTCTCTGCTAAGGAACCACATGCAAATTTAAACTTTCATATTTATTTGTTTCTTAAAATGTGCCATGATCAAAATCACCATGGTCTAAAAATCCTTTTTTGCTTCATTTCTTAAATTAGAACTGTAAGGATGTGTAACTGTGAATTTATAAAGCAAAATCAAGTTTTTGTTACTGCTTTTATAATATTTTTATAATTTGTCTAACTATAAGTAATATAATCTTGATCTAATCTAAGATTATGGAATATACGGCACATAATTTACAGTTCTCAAGTCTTGTAAATCTCACAATCTAATAACTGTGTATGAATAACCATCATCTGAGTATCATTACCTATATTCATAGCATATTAACATAACTGCCGACCTTTTTATTTCAAATTTTATGAAAATTTCTTACATTACTTAGACATTTAGTCTAACAGAAATCTGAATGTTTTGTAATAAAAGTAGGAGTATAATTTATGTATAAAAATTTTGAATATATAGCAAGTACTTAAATACCGATTTCAACATCTTTGAATGTAATTATAATTTAGATATAGTCTTTGCAATCATACATTGTAACTTAACTTTAGCTAGACATTAAGTGAATTATCGCTAACTAACAAACGGAACTGAGATGGGTGTAAAAGATCCTTTGCTGAAACTTAATAAGAACCGAAGGCACACTTTATGCTTACAACTCAGCCAACCACTTGTGGCAAGATAAATTTATAATGTATTTCTTCCGCCTTCTTAGCCTGCCTTCGTATTGTAGTGGTCTGCACGCTCGGCGCGTATTCGAGAGGTCAGTGGTTCGATTCCCGGTGAGGGCATGGCTTATTTTTCAAGTCTCCTGCCTTAAAAAAATACTAATGTTTCTACAGTGGCGCCCGAACTACGGCGCCACTGTAGAAATGCCCGGCCGCGTCTGGCAGCATGAGGGACTTATTTACAAGATTTCCTTTGAGTTCGGTAGAGAAATCATTGAAATTATTTACTCCTTTATCAAAAACGGGAAATTCTTTGTCTCCGTTGGTAAAGATTTTTCAAGTCACAGAAATATCAATGCAGGCGTGCCCCAGGGCTCAATTTTGGGACCTATAATTTATCTTTTTTATATGTGATCTTCCCAGAGATCACATAAATTACAACTATTTTCTTGGCTGCTACGCGAATGACACCACCGCGTTAGCAGCAAAGTCCATGAATGCTGAAAAGGCCATTTAGAACTTACAAATTATGATGCCGCAACTTGAAAGCTGGTGTGTAAATAAATGCCCAGAAGTCCCAACTTCTTTTGATCAAAAGAATTCACAGTAGGACACTAGTAAAGGCCAAATGCAGCTTTTTAATGTAAGCATCCAAATGGTTAAAAGTGTTGCGTATATAGGCATTGTCTTTAACAGAAAGCTCACTTGGTCCTACCACATCAAGAAAATTAGCAGGACTACAGGAATTATCAACAGTCTCACGCCTTTACTTGGAAACATCTCAAAATTCGACCCTTATAAGAAAAGGCATATTTACACTGGAATTATTCGCCCGGTGTTTACCTATGCTTCACCGACTTGGGCAGCTTATTCAGAAAATGCTATTCATAAACTGCAAGTAATTAAGAAAAATCACAAATGCGCATTTTTATGTTTCCAACAGTACTCTGCACAAAGATCTTAAAATTGAATATGTTGACAAGTACTTACAACTCATGAATGACAACTTCTTTAGCAAAGCTCTCTCTTGCTTCCACCTTCAAAACTTCAATTGTTTTGATTATACAATCCTCGCTGAAGATAAAAATACTTGTCCATATGCAGCTCACCTCACCAAAGACACTAACTTTCGACTTAACTTTCAAATTGTGCCTCACGCTAACTTACTCTATCTCAGTACTGTGTGCTTCAATTGTAATTCTTAATGGATTTTTATTTAATGTTTTATATTAATGCAATTTTAAATTGCTTATTTCTCTTTCCTCGCTTTTATAAATATCATGTATCTTGTTTTCACTTTATTGTATTACGTGCAGTACTTAAATTGCGCCGGAGCCCGGCCCTGGTACTTCTCAATTTTTAAGGTAAATTACAGTTTTAGCCGGAACGCACCGGAGCCCTAAGTAAGATGAGCTC